CCCCCTCCTCTTCAAAATAAAATCCACTTCCCAAGTGAGACTTCCATGTCGTCCTGACTGAGCAATATAATTCATTGTCTCTTTTGGTCTGACATGAAAGTAAATGTCTTGCTTCCTGCTGAAAGCATTCCCATCCCATGCCATTTTCGGTTTAACAGCCCTGATGTGAAATGTCTGCTAGTTCCATTAGTCTATGCTCTATAAATTGTAAAGCGCATAGAGTTTGCTGCTGGGCGGTAACTTGCGCTGTACAAATGCTGTGTATTATATGGAATAAGTATTATTATCTCAAGATGTTTCCAACTTCGGTCTCGGCATTATTTTCACTAGCTTACCGGATAGTATTATAATAATAGTAAGGATTCTGCAAAAATAAAGATGTTCGAGATCAGTCCCAGAAGTAAGTTTCCCGGTTTTGTCAAATCAACAATGTTTTTTCAAAAGTCCTGAAATTTTAAACATTCCTACCTAAACCTGTTTTCTATCCAACCTACTATTCGCTGATCTCAAAGCACTTTTTCATCTGATGTACCCACGGGCGAAACGCAATGACATTAGGAGAGCATTTGTTTCGAGTACAATTTCCTCCTTGTTTTCAAATCTTTGATTTTGAGGGGAAAAAATAATTTAAGTCGTATAGAGCACAGCGAGGATATTCAAGGATTTTCCAATGCCAGGAGTCCAGGAAGTTGGTGACCTTTCTAGCAGTGTGCGCAGGCGCGTTGTCATAATGGAAGACAACACCTCGCTCAAACAGACCCAGCCGACTTCTTCTGACTGCTGGTCTCAACTTTGTATGAGGAACCATTTTGTAATTGTCGGCATTTTGGAAATAAAACAGACTCTGACCATTCATTGGTTCAACGTGGACCGGTTAGTTCAAAACCACACCGTTATGATGGAACGGAAAGCATGATGCACCTCACTTTCAAAGCACCTTGATTTCGTTGAGCTTTCTGGGGTTGTGGTGATCGTGGGTATTTTTCTCCTGCTGTCTTTTTAGTTCTGGGTCACACGAATACACCCATGTTTCATTACCTGCTATGATACTTCTAAAATCAAATTTAGTTGTTGTTTTTTCCATGCATCTTTCAATACTTCCACTAAATAAAAAAGACAAACGGGGCAACAATTCCAGGCGAGAAAGAATTTGTGCTCCAAATATACTGGGCTAAGGACCATGGGTATTTTCCGTGTCGCAACACTAACTCTATTAACGATGCGTTCTTTCTTCACCCATTAACATTTCTTCGACGAGTCACGACTGCCAAGTGAGCCATAAATGGATTATGTCCTTCCCATTAAGCTGTCTGAGATAAATCAAAGGACACAGTATGACAGCTTTTATTTCACCCACTGAGGTAATGGATGTCCTAATTAAAACTTCTTATATTTCCAAGATCGGCTTTAAACTATCTCGCCTTGAAGGTGGACTCCAGTAATGGGTGCTGCAACTTTAAAGAGACTGCTTGTATTCCCATCAGCATTATTACTGTACTTACTTTCGTTCTTTAGTGTATTTTAAAAAGAAAAAAAGTGGATAATGTATGAGGGGATTTTAAGGTATTAAAAATAAAGAAAGTGGACAACCGATGAAGAAATGTTAGTGTATTTTTTTTTTAAAGAAATGAGCAATCGATGAAGAAACGTTGGTATACTGGAATAAAATGAAAATAGACAACTGATGAGAAAAATGTAAAATTCTTAAAACAAAGAAAATACCCTGAATGGCAAATGAACAGTGAAAAGTAATAGAAACTGACCTCGATTTTCCAGAGCGCTGTTTGACGACTGATAATAGTTTATTTTAGAGAACCCATTATCTCCGCTTCTCAGTGTGCTGGAGTTTTAATGCCGAAGCCCGGATGGAAATTTATTGTTTAACTTCCGCTAAATGAGGTCTTTTTGACACATTGGGGGTGTAATTATGCCAACGTTAGGACAAAGTAAAGACGATTTTTTAACTTTTTGTTTTTCACGTACTAACAGTGAAATGGTTGTAGAATTATAATGTTGTGAAAGTCAGATTTTGTTTTTACACACTATTAGAGTACTTATTGTAGAGTTCAAACGTTCCATCAATGACGTTTTGCACTGTTTTGTTGTTGTCGGTTTGTACATTCAAGAGACGTAATCATCCCAACTGTTTTAATAAGGTTAATCATAATAATATGTTTTGCACAGTAGGTGTTTTTACGCCTCAATCGACACAATCTAAATCATTTAGGAGGAGGCTTCGACCCTATCTGTCAGTGCCAAGCCAGGCTGAAAAGGATACAACACCCTTGCCAAAAGAACGAGACACTTGATAAAAATTATCCACAAATGGGAATCGAACTTTGACCTTCTGCCACACTACAGACACCAGTGATCGTTGTTTGACAGAATGTTCTTTATTTTCAGTATGTCAAATGTCCGAACTTCTGAATGAGAAACAAGGAAAAGAATAACCCAAATGTTCCTTTACAAGCTGTGAACGGAGTTGTTGTTTTGGAAAGTTAATCGTCTTTCATACGTCTTTAACGTCACTGGTATGAAGCTGATGATTTCTGAAACATGATACTATTACTAGTAGAAACGGAGATACTGAAACCAAGTAATTTTTAAACGTATCTATTGATTGTGTATTGATTTGTCTCTTTAGCTACCCTCTACAGTCTCGTGGTCAATGAAAATTACGGCAAATTAGTTCAGACATAGAGAGATCGCAGAACGTACCTTTTGTGTTATGTTTTCAATAAGCGTTTTACGGCTCTTGCAACACAGTTCGGTCATATCATATTAGTGCTGAAGACTGGAGGTGCTACATACGAGTAAAGAAACGAAAATGAAGAAGAAATAAGGACGACAGATTATGGTTGACAGGATAGATGGAGCAAACCACACAAGAGCCCCCGCCAATCACCGACTGAAAGTACTGTACTCTCGATTTACCTTTGACATGATCGATGTTGAACCGCGGCAGAAATGTAACTGGGTTGTTTGATGGCGCAGCTGGTAGTCCCTACTTCTTGTCTTTTCTTTGGTCGTTTCTGCCTGTCTTTCTTGCTTTTAAGCAACTCTTAATCTCCTCTATACTCACATAAACAAAAAAAACAGGTAAGTTTCATACAAATCGCTACCTTAAAATGAGAAAGTTCTATCTGACAGTTTTGGAAATTTTGATTTACAATGACCTAGAGTTGAGAAACCAAATGTTTTGTCTGCTCTTTTAAGATGGTAACATTACTCGGGGTCATTATCAATAATATATTCAGAGATCTGAATTCGAAAAAGTTTGACATGTTACGAAACTCAATTTTTTTTTACGCCAAATTTCTCAAAACTTGGAACTGAGCAGATAGAACTTTCTAGTTCTAAGGTAGCAAAGTATCTTCATATGTTGGAACGTATCATTTTCCTTTTGTTTAGCAGAGTAGTCCGGAAGTGAAATACAAATCCCCTGAGAAGATGATCTGAAAGCGATTTAAAAGCGAGACATAGAAGAAGCATCGGTAGGTCAATAATAACAGAGAATTTCAAGAGATGGACGACAAGAAAAAGATCAGGATCATAGTTATAGGGTGTGGTTATTTTTTCAAGTATCAAAAACTTAAGAGGAAGAAAGAATGGCGAGTGGTTCTTGAAGAAGAAGAAGAAGAAGAAGAAGAAGAAGAAGAAGAAGAAGAAGAAGAAGAACAACAACAACAACAACAACAACAACAACAACAACAATTACAACAACAACAACAACAACAACAACAACAACAACAATAAGGAGAAAAAGGAACAGAAGGAGAAGGTTTCCTTACTCTTTAAAAAAATATATGCTCTTTATTTGTCTATTACAGGTACTGGACTACCATCGTATCCAAGGGAAAATCCTGGCCAAAATCACCATCTGAACAGATTACTGGTGAGTATAAAGTCGTATTGAAATAACAGACAATACTAATGGATCAATTATCTTTATTTGAAATAGCTGACGGGAAAATATTAATTGTTTTTTTTATTGTAATAATTATTAGATGCCCCCATCTACACAATTTATGCCATTTGGAGGTGAGCTTCTTCCACTCTATAATATATCACGGCCAACTTGGGCTGAGAATGATACATGTACAATGTCCCAGTGGATAGCTGAAGATACTACGAATATAAAAAAGATAATTTCGGCTTTCAGAAATGGATCTCATGTCTTTTGGGTGCAGCGACGAAGAGCCTAACAGTAAAACCATTGACAACGGTATTTATTTGCCTCTTAAACTATTTGTGTTACGACGTGGTGGAATTAGGCGCTCGTCAGTTTTTGGGCATGTGGAGTTTTTGATATAGTCTTCAAATCAGTCTTACTTTTGATTAAAAAAACTACCTTTCTATCTTGAGAAGACGTTTATCAATATTTATGATTGAAGTAGGTGGGGGTTGCGTGGTGTCAAAGGTAAAAGTAGCAAGAAAATGGCCGACAAAATTGGGTCACTTACAGAGCTGTAGTGACATAGGAAACTACAAATGTGTATTTTTTTGTGCTTGTGATAAATGGTTTCAGTAAAATTCATGCAGGGATTTGTTTTACATCGAACATAAAAGGTGTGGAACAAATTGGTAAAAATTAATAAATGGGCAGAAAAAGGTTGATTTTTTTAGATTTCTATATTTTAACGAGAGCCTGATTTAATCACCATGCTAGACATTTATCATAATTTGTCTTCACAAAAAACCCAACGTTTTCTTGTATTGGCTGTAAGCAGGTAAGCTTATCGACACTTGCCTTCTGCAAAAGCGCATTGGTGGAAGGTCAGAAATTGGCATTATTATGTATTTATCTTTTTTTTTCTTCAATGTTTGTTTGTTTTACGCCGCCATAGGCAGACACATGAGGGCAGAAGTGTCTTAAAATAAACGACCAGTCTTTCTCAGTCACGTAGACCTACATGTATCATTTTTTTCCATATAAATAATTGGGACATAGCATGATGCGCTATAGTTTGTAACATGATACGATGTGGCTCAACCCCCTTTCTACACGGTATATCCCTAAGAGGAAGGATTTAGCGACCGTGTTCAACACAACTCAGCCAGCCTAGCCATTAAAGATCTCAAATAAGATAATGTCTCACTGGTCATCTGAGCCGGGGTTAGCTGCTTCCAAGGACAGGGTGATAATCAAGCTCAGGGGGGGGGGGGGGAAGTGGGGTTTGTGTTTCAAAACAGCCGGCTTCTTTTGTGCCATGGTTTGGATCTTCACCGTAACATACAGAAAACGTTAGTTCGATTCCCGTGTAGGGAAGTGTGTTTTTTAAATTTTAATTAGTCTTTATTTTATTTCTTTTCTTTTCTCATTTGAAGTTGGGAGGAGGGGGAAGGAGGAGGCTGCTTGCTTGTTGTTGTTTTTTTGTGCTTGGGTTTTTTAAAACAGGTTTTTATTGTTGTTACTTTTTTTTTTGGGTTGTTTTTTAAAGGAGGGGGGGGGGGGCTGAGGTTTGTTTTCTTTTTTTATATATATTGTCTCAGTCTGTCTGCTTGGATGTTGTATCCCGCACACTTTGAATAGGCCCAACAACGCAAGGTCGAAGCAGCCCTTCTATTAATGATCTGAAATGAGTTAATTTGGATGCAAAACACTTTCTGTTACAATTACAAGTTTCACTACAAAAACAGAACATTCATCAATTAAAATCTGGAATATGCAAGTGATGTTCGTTAGTGATGTGCGATATTTGAGGAAACGAAGCTTCATTGATGCTTCGAAGCTTGAAGTCATTATAAATGTAATGATATTTAAATGCCACTTGCGAATGTCTCTCTTTTGTTTTAGTGGCATGAGTTCAACGGCAACATTCGCTATACTCAATATTCCTGTTGGATCTACTTATCACTTTGTCTCGAAATCATCGAGCACAAATTAATTATGTATTTACCTCAATGATTTTAGATGACGGGAAGATGCCAGTTACTTCTATGTTACCATTTGGACAAGAGATTGATTTAAGATGACTCACATCATACTCGTAAATGGTTTCAGATTTTTGTCCCGTGTAAAGTTAATAAGGTTCCCGCTCTGCTTTTGTTCTTGCAATTTTTCCTTATAAAACAGTCTTACCAACCTCGGCAATGTTACCCACTAGTGGTCAACTTGGCAATCTTGTTGGATGTTGGGTATCACCCGGGTAGTGATGGGCATGAATTTAATATCCTGCTTGGAGAAACAAGTAGGTGGGCAGTACAAACATTTCTGCAACTTAAAAATGACAAATGCAAACGCTGGCTATGAAAAAAGAAATTGACCAACACTAATACAAACTATCAGGCCAAGAGAGTTTTAAAAGGGGATCTTACTGGGTTCCCATTTTCTCTTTCTAACCATTCTTCATCTTAGCTTCATCTGTCTTCACCTTCACCACCTTTACCTCTCTCGCAAACTTTACTGAATACATTAAACATTTCCTATCACTGTAAATATTGCCACTCAGAGTAAACATTACTCATCATTGTAACTGTTTCCTCATATGACTGTAAATATTACTGCAAACAGTGTTCCTCCTTGCAGGCTTTTTAACTACAGCGGCATATCACTGTCAAAACTCCTCGTCTCCAGGAGGCTGGAAAAATCGATTGCAAACTCACGGTCCTTACATAAAGGGTCTTAATTGCGCCTCTCAGATTTCAAAGCCAAACGTTCAAAAATAGAAAACCCGAATCTAAAGAGATTTTCGCACAGCAGGAGTGTTACAATCTAAAGGTCTTCACATGTTCCATTTCACAATAGCAAATCCGGCCGAGCTTTTTGATGATACTCGAATATCTTGCCTAACACTTTTAATAAGGTTATAAAATCGGACGAAATCCAGTTAATCTTCCATCTATGTGAGCTAAGGACATTATGAGTTTCTTCAAAAGATGCGCGGATAAAGGGGGGCATAGCTGATTAGGGTAGGAAAAAAAAGCTAAAATCCTTAGGATAAATATTACTCCATTACGAGAGAGAACGTTGGATCTAGATTACAATTAGGCTTTTCTTTGTGCAAACGGGAGGCAGTTTTTACTACGGAATTGCCGTATAGTGACAGAGAGGGAGAGAGAAAGAGAGAGAGTGAGAGAGAGAGCAAGAGAGAAATAAGAGATAGGGAGATAGAGAAAGAGAGAGAGAGAGAGAGAGAGAGAGAGAGAGAGAGAGAGAGAGAGAGAGAGAGAGGTGATTATAAGCAAAAGCCAGCACATTCCTCCGGTTTGTATTCGGAGTCTTGTCCGACCACAATACAAAGAGAACTTTTTGAGCTAATTGTTTAAGATGCTGTTGGAACAGAGTACAGAAATACCCTCAGCTCCTGAAGGCAAACGAGCTTTGTCCATGGGGAAAAAGAAACAATACAGGAACCGCACTTAATAACTTGAATATCATTTCTATAAGGAAAAAATAAATGCTTTCTGGGACGTGGCCGGTTTCTAGTTACAGCCAGGAAAGCTCAAAATTTACCTAATATGAATATGCGTGTATCATTGTGATTGTTGGCGCAGGCTGATTAGATCCACCGCGGTGTGTGTATATGGAAAGGGGTTGGGGAGTCAATGGGAGGGGCGGATGTGTCCTTATTGTTCTTATAATGATCAGGTTTCGTTCTTGACTTAAGCTCTTGTTGTTCTGTGATAATATTACATTGTGTTCCCACTATACGTTTGTTCTTGTAATTTATTCCTGATGAACCATCGTGTCATGCTAGTGTAAATACAGATTTGTGCTTTCTTATCATCTTTTATCTTTAACCAGGCTATTTCTTGGCCTTTGAAAGAAGATAAAGGGAGCTGGCCGGTAGTTTTGTCCTGCTCTATTTTGTTTCTTAATTTTGTTTATTTTGTTTTTTTAAAAACTTTTTCTAGGTTGTTGTTGTTGTTGTTGTTGTTGTTGTTGTTGTTGTTGTTGTTGTTGTTGTTGTTGTTGTTGTTGTTGTTGTTGTTGTTGTTGTTTCATTAAAACGTTTTTTTTTTTGTTTTTTTGTTTTTTTTGGGGGGGGGCTCTTGTTGGGTTGTTTTTCGTTTGTTTTTTGTTGCTTTGTTTTGTTTTTTAATCTAGAGTTTTAATCGTTTACGAGGTGGACTCCCATCATGCTTGTCAGGGCCAATCCGGGCTAAGAGTGATAACAACATCCCACCAGAAAGACAGAGATACCGAATAGAAAAAGGCCCCATTTGGGAATCAAACTCTGCTCCTGTGTACGAAAACGAAGTGCCTAACCATAACAGCACAGACCCCGGCTATTCTTATCTGTTTCTGTTATGATTATAGATTCGTGTTAAGAAAAATAATGACCATGAGCGACCTGATTGAACAAAACTTCAAAAAGGGATTTATGAAGATCAGTAGCCGGGCATTTCCATCACAACCACATTATTTGATGTTTCAGGCATGTTTCCCCGCTGTCTGGATTTCTGACAAGAGAAAAGAAAGCATTAATTTGAAGGGGTCAAGTGAGAAATATGGAACGTTCATTCTAAAAAAAAATGAAGCAGTATTTACTTACCTTTAGCATGCTACAGTACCTATTAAATATCCGTATGAAATCAAACTGGTTTTAAAAAAAACACCTATGTCATCCACAAATGATATTTCTATAATTACAAAGGAAGTTAAGAACGTTTGGCGGATGCTTTAGTATAGTTTTATCAAGCTTCTATTGTGCTTATTTCTCCCCCGTCCTTTTTCTTCTTCGTACGCTACTCAAGTAACAACTCAGCACCTACTTGACCTGTTTGTGCGGCAAGTGACACAAAACTTTTACTTAACAACTGAACTAAAACTAAGTTAAGATAATGCCAAGTCCACCATGAAATTCTTTTAATAGGTTGGTTTTGTTCGGATGTAATTTAGCTTGTTTTTCACTTGACCTCTCCCGTTGATAATGACATAACCCATCTCTAACATCGTAAACACTTGTAGGGGATCATCAGCGTCATCCGAAAATATGCATACAATTTCCTGGAATCTTTCTCTAAACCATTATCTTGAGAGAGACACAGTTTTATTGTAGCGCAAATAATATCCAGATAACACCAGCCTGCCTTTACCTCCCCCACCCCCACCCCCTTCACACACACAACCCGAGTAGACAGGGAAGTAGATCACATCTTTCTTTGATCAAGGATTTGAAATCCCATAGGAAAAGCCGCTAGAGATCATGCGCCAATGCCTGCATGAGACCGGAATAAAACCAGACATTTTTCCCTAGAGATGCAATCTACCACAACACCCACCTCACACCCCACTCCACCCCTCTTTTCTCTGTTGTTGAATCAGTTTTAATACAAACTGATGGGAGGAGAGAGCAGTAGGGGGTGGGTAGGGAGAGGTGGCATTAGCGAATTTGATCGATAGAATCGAGGTAACTGAGGGGAGAGTAATTTTTCCCTTTGAAATTGAGAGAGAGAGGGCGTCCTTATGGAATACTCAATTAAACTGAGAGGGTGCTTTCAAAATGTTTGATCAAACTAAAAGAATAGTAAATGCGATTACCCATAGCATAATGGATC